AGCAAACACCAGTGTGGCTGAAGCTCTACCAGTTGTACACACAGGAGCCAGGAACACTACCGGCAGCGAAGGTAAAAGCAGGAAATCTGTAACAATCCATCAGAATTAATGGAGTGGGAAGTAACACAGAGGAAACAGATACTGACGGCAGTGTGTAGCCCCTTGACTGTAAAGCTGCCAGGAAAAATATGAAATAAATATATATATTATATATATATATATCTATATATATATATATATATATATATATATATATATATATATATATATATATATATATATATATGTATATATATACATATAAAGTATCGTTAACTTGACACATTTTTAAACTTTGACGCTCTTGGGGAGACGGATAAACATCGATATTACATAATACAGTAATAGGTTTTCAGCATGAATTACAATGTAGATATAGTTCTTCTTTGCATGTTCCTGGCGACAGGATATGCTGTATCGAGCAGTGGCGGTCTCGCTGGTGCTTAGAAGGTATTTAAGGTAGGAGAGAGGCACGCACACGCTTGTATATCACGCTGGAGAGTAACGTCCTTCCCTAACCAGAGTCATGGCGAGGTACAAGTGGTGTGTGTGGGTCACCAGTGGGAGATAGGGTCACCAGTTATGACGACATGCTGAGGGTGGGGTCAAGGGTCATCCCCCTTATGGGTTGACCCCTGGGTGGAAGTTGAGTAGGGGTCATCCCTGGGAGGTAAAAACACGAAGGGTTTGATGATAGGCAAGAGTGGAGGGGCTTGGAGGTTAGCACTGACAAAGACCTCGTCATAACATCATTAAACTCACCATAGTCCTTGATTCAATAAAATAGAATTTACGTGAAATATAAGAATCATCTCATCGTGATCAAAGGCCGCCAACTTTGTTATCGTTAAAAGCTTTTCACTTTGTTAAATGTTTCCTGTAGTTAATTACAATGTCTGTTGTATAGACCCTTTAAGCTAGGCATCATTAATGTCTAATTGTTCTATATTTTAGGTCGATAACCCATATATTAGCACGCAAATCCTCGCCTTTATAGGCTAGTAAATCCCACTTCCCCATCAGCAAATGAAGATGAATGTCCGGATTCTCCTGTCAACGTGAAGCTGATTTATCATAGTCGAATTTTAACTCGTGATGATAGCAATGGACTTTTCTAGTCAGTGTTTCACAGCGCCATGATAAATGTAACCAAGATTTCTGTTGGGACGCATTGTTCTGTGGTGAGTGGAACGCATTGTTCTGTGGTGAGTGGGACGCATTGTTCTGTGGTGAGTGGGACGCATTGTTCTGGGGTGAGTTTGACGCATTCTTCTGTGGTGAGTGGGACGCATTGTCCTGTGGTGAGTGGGACGCATTGTCCTGTGGTGAGTGGAACGCATTGTCCTGTGGTGAGTGGAACGCATTGTCCTGTGGTGAGTGGGACGCATTGTTCTGTGGTGAGTGGAACGCATTGTCCTGTGGTGAGTGGGACGCATTGTCCTGTGGTGAGTGGAACGCATTGTCCTGTGGTGAGTGGAACGCATTGTCCTGTGGTGAGTGGAACGCATTGTCCTGTGGTGAGTGGAACGCATTGTCCTGTGGTGAGTGGGACGCATTGTCCTGTGGTGAGTGGAACGCATTGTTCTGTGGTGAGTGGAACGCATTGTTCTGTGGTGAGTGGAACGCATTGTTCTGTGGTGAGTGGGACGCATTGTCCTGTGGTGAGTGGGACGCATTGTTCTGTGGTGAGTGGAACGCATTGTCCTGTGGTGAGTGGGGCGCATTGTTCTGTGGTGAGTGGGACGCATTGTTCTGTGGTGAGTGGAACGCATTGTCCTGTGGTGAGTGGGACGCATTGTCCTGTGGTGAGTGGAACGCATTGTCCTGTGGTGAGTGGGACGCAGACGTGTTAAAGTCCCGATGGTCCAGTGGTAGAGTATGCGCTTGACAATGCCGAGGCCGGGGGTTCGCGCCCACCTCTCAGCCCCGGTGGATTTTCTCATTAATAATAATAATCTAAATACTAATAATTATAAACAAATAATACTAAAACACCACAAATAACACTCAACACCAGAGAGCTTATGTGTACTTTGGCATTATAAAATCAATGATTGGGCGATGTTTTCAACACTATATATATATTCCTGAAACTAATTGCTTTGGCCTCAGCACGCACAGGCATTGATAACCTTTAATATATTGTTGTGTGTTGGACCTTTCTAGGTGCTCCTGTTTTTGAACTACAACTAACGTGTGAGCTGTGGTATATATATATATATATCTATATATAATATATATATATATATATCTCTATATATATATATATATATATATATCTATATATATATATAGTATATATATATATATATAGATATGGGTTTATTGAAACTGACGGCATTTTGTCATTTGGAGTTATTATAAATACAGAATTGTAATCTTGATGGTTTCAAGACTTTATAAACAAAGATATTGTATATAACGTATTGTGTTAATTTAGGATATTTAATTAGTATAATGTATATTTCAGTTTATGACATTATATGTATAATTTATTGTGTTTTTGTCGTCCGCGGTTCGAGGCCCCGATGGACCAAGGAAAGGGGACAGTATCCCCTTCCATTACGACTATATAGCACTTGGAAGGTATCAGGATAAGGATTTGGGATGGGACGGGGGAAAGGAATGGTGCCCAACCAATAGGACGGTCGGAAATTGAACGTCGGCCTGCATGAAGCGAGACCGTCGCTCTACCGACCAGCCCAAGTGGTTGGGCAGATTTCGTTTGGTAACCCAAACGAGTATTTATTATATTTTAATCAAACATTTTAAGCTATTACTTGAAAGTACAGAAAAATGGTGGATCATTTATTTATGATTTAGAATATACTGATATTGTCCAGTAAGGAAATAAGCTTCATCGGGTTTAGATTATTTACCAGTTCTCTCTCTGTCGTCTCTCTCTCTCGACTCTCTCTATCTCTCTCTCTTCTCTCTCTCTCTCTCTCTCTCTCTCTCTCTGTCTCTTCTCTCTCTCTCTCTCTCTCTCTCTCTATCTCTCCTCTCTCTCTCTCTCTCTCTGTCTCTGTCGCTCTCTCTCTCTTCTCTCTCTCTGTCTCTCTCTCTCCTCTCTCTCTCTCTCTCTCTCTCTCTCTCACTCTCTCTCTCTCTCTCTCTCTCCTCTCTCTTCCTCTCTCTCTGCTCTCTCTCTCTCGTCTCTCTCTCTCTCTCTCTCTCTCTCTCTCCTCCTCTCTCTCTCTCTCTTCTCTCTCTCTCTCTCTCTCTCTCTCTCTACCTCTCTCTCTCTCTCTCTCTCTCTCTCTCTCTCTCTCTCTCTCTCTCTCTCTCTCTCTCTCTCTCTCTCTCCTCTCTCTCTCTCTCTACTCTCTCTCTCTCTCCTCTCTCTCTCTCTCTCTCTCCTCTCTCTCTCTCTCTCTCCTCTCTCTCTATCTCTCATCCCCCTTCCTCATTAATGTAGATAATGAAACCAGCGACAAAAAGTAATGGACAAGGCAAGAGGACGACAAGTCACATGAGATGGAACAGATAAAGCTGGGAAGTAAGAGAAAAACGTGAGCTGTATGAATAATGAGGTATGATTAGATATAATGCTGTATAATGAGGCGAGATAGAGATGAGGAGGAAGGGAAGGGAACTCTCAGGGGAAAAGCGCTGAGCTATTACGACTATATAGCGCTTGGAAAGGGGGGGGGGAGTTAGGATACGGATTTGGGATGGGACGGGGGAAAGGAATAGTGCCCAACCACTTGGACGGTCGGGGATTGAACGCCGATTTCCATGAAGCGAGAATATTCACTCGGAGGCTTATAAATATAATAAAATCCACACATAAGACTAATTTACAAATGTTAACAAGATACAGTAGTAAAGTGCATGAGAAATAATAAAGTGGGTAAGATCAGAACTAGAGACTAATATTACACAGAATACATTAATATATATGATGCTGAATCAAGTGATAACGACAGAACTAGGAGGGGGAAGTGCAGTTCAATGTCTTCAGTGAGGGTCATGTATCATACTTGAGGATAACAGATCACACATTCTGTGTCGTGTGTTCTAGGACACAGATAACAGTTATTAAGAGGTTGATTTGCTTCAGTGAATTATTTTCTAACTTGTAATACTACGGCATGTACTTACCTAATTGTGCTTGAGGGGGTTGAGCTCTGGCTCTCTGGTCCCGCCTCTCAACTGTCAATCAACTGAAACTTGAAACTTGATTGCTCTCTACTTAACGTAGAGAGAGAAGGAATTATTATGGGAATGCGCCAAGCCGTTACGATTATATAGCACTTGGAAGGGGTCAGGATAAGGATTTTTGATGGGACGGGGAATTATATGCTCTCATATAGCGTGAAGTTCACTTCTGTCACTAACGTTATCACGTAGTCATTTGCAAATGCTAATGCAAGAGGTTCATTCAGAGTTAGCATGATTGTTGATGTATATTTAGCTCAAATAATAGCGCAGAGCACTGTTCACGGCTCAGATATTGAGCAACCTGCCTAGGAATGGGGATAGTTGCGTTATGTATTGATTAATTCTCTAGAAAAAACTACAGCTTAAAAATGTTGTGGAGTGCAACTTGTCGAACCATCGAAATGTCGGTCACATTTTGCCTCGGGTTCAACACATTGCAGAACTCTGCCAATAATGCCGGAGAAATAAACCAATCATGTTATAGATAATCACCAGATGTTATGGAAGCTCCTAAAAATGTTAAATTGAGGTTGGTAATCTTTGAAAGGATTACTATCATTCGATTGACATCGAAGATATTTTACACTGAGAAATAATTTCTCGAGAACAGTACCATTATCAAGTGACCAGAGACATGTCTGTCAATTCGAGTGGTAGTTTCCCTGCAGACAACAGAAGGCAGGAGCTAGGAAAGGAACTGTAAGCACCATAATACCAAATAGACATCTGTGTGGTGAACAGGATCCAGTTTCTTAATGTAGACGGGACCTAATGAGAAACTTTCGCATAAATATTCTTCAAACTGCATCAAGGCCTTGTGAAACCGAGGGAGAGGCATCATGGCCTTGTGGAACCGAGGGAGAGGCATCAAGGCCTTGTGGAACCGAGGGAGAGGCATCAAGGCCTTGTGGAACCGAGGGAGAGGCATCAAGGCCTTGTGGAACCGAGCGAGAGGCATCAAGGCCTTGTGGAACCGAGGGAGAGGCATCATGGCCTTGTGGAACCGAGGGAGAGGCATCAAGGCCTTGTGGAACCGAGGGAGAGGTATCAAGGCCTTGTGGAACCGAGGGAGAGGCATCATGGCCTTGTGGAACCGAGGGAGAGGCATCAAAGCCTTGTGGAACCGTGGGAGAGGCATCAAAGCCTGGTGGAACCGTGGAAGAGTGATCCAATCAACACGCTAAGAGTTGCAGATCATCACTTTCAAGAGGCTTATGGACGACATGCATGAGAACATAGAATAAGGCAGCCAACATTTTCGTTTTAAGGCATCTTCTTTCTATATAATAACGGCTCTGAATCAGGGTATATGCCACGAATGCGACTGTCGTCAACTGTACTGTCAACTCTTTTCCCAGGAAGTGTCTGAGGCCTCGTTCTGTCGCCTATCCGGATGGCCGATCTACGGTTATTTACAGATGTCGCTCAGCCCTCGACATACGTGACGCTGCTGGTTTAATTGAAAAATCGACTACGAAAGGGAACCGAGACTCCAGGGAGGAAATACGATATCAAACATATTAAATTCACTAGCAAAGTCGCGGAATATTTCCTTAGGAGAGGCGCGGGCGAAATCTGGCTGGTGTGTCACGGGGAAAACGGAAGTGGACAACAGATGGTATGACATAGAAAGCAGACAAATCTGCCGGTAGAGCACAGGGACAGTGAGGTGGCGGCGGATGGTGCGACATAGACATGAGTGACGCGGGAGGGAGGGAGGCTAGAGGCGTAAGATCCGAGCCTGAGATCACAAGAGAGGAGGGTGAAGAACGACTGACCTGTACCTGGAGATGGGTGACCTCTGGTGGAGACTAGTAGTACTGTACCTATACTTCTCAGCACTTATCACTGATTACGTGGAAGTGAAATCTACCTCTGTGTACCTCGTCTACTAATCTTGTTGTACTTGATACCTTTAATTTAACGCTTCTGATGTTCGAGTACCTCGAACGGTATATACGTTCAGTGTTGTTGTTGTCAATCTACTTGTTGACCACATGTAGAGGGTTCGTGTCCCTTATCCTTCACCAGCTCAGGTTAAGCCTCGTTCTAAGGACTTTCCTACTTAATGAGATTATTTCTTGCCAATAGGAACAAATTTTATTAGCATATTTTATTAGCATACAAGTAGCATACTCGCCTCGAACCTCGGAAGTGATTTCATCTGCGTTCTAGCCCCAGGCGGGGGTGGATTAACTGGGCACCAATCCTTAACTGTTCGCCCATATTCACCCAGCATTAACTGGATAAGGCTTACCATGAGCCACGGGAAAGGAGAACTCTAACCCTACTAACAAAAGTCACAAGTCGTCTTTTTCTGTAGCTCCCTGTTTAAAAAAATTAGTAAAAACAAATTGATGGATGTGAGGTGGTGGAGGGCGCCTGGAGTGAAGCGGAAATGAGAAACAAGGGTGATGATTACTTGATATAGAGATGAAGAGGTAGATAAGACACGGGAAGAAGGAGATAGACAATGCACAAAGGGAAAGAGATTGGCAAGATGCAGAGAGGAGGAAATAATCCACATAGAGCAAGAGACAGGCGAGACACAGGGGAGGAGGTACACATGACACAGGGGAGGAGGTACACAAGACACATGGGAGGAGGTACACAAGACACAGGGGAAAGAACGTAGACAAGACAGAGGGAGATGGAGGTAATTACATGATTTGGGAGAGAAGGAATTGACATATGTTGACAATGACACTGTCAACAGACGTTATCAATTACAATTGGACTGTAAATAACTTACAGTCGAAAATGAGATAGTGATTTATGGTGAATATGAGAGAGTATTACAATCTTAGACATTATTTTATAAACAATAATAAAAATTCAAAGGAAACTTTGGTGGTCACTTGAATGATGTTTGTATTAGCTAGATATTCTTCGATACTCTCCGAGATCTTCCTCATTACAAACATCTTAATCTAACTAGAATAAAACCCAAACTACAGCCCCTAGTTCGATCCCTCGATGACAGGATTGTTTGAAGAAGCAAGTCAGCAGGCCACATGAAGCCTCTGATATGTAATTAACTGAAGCTTTCAAGGTGTTAATAACATGACTGTATCTTAGCACTTAATAAAATTTGTTCCTAATGGCAAGAAATAATCTCATCAAGTAGGAGAGTCCTTAGAACGAGGCTTAACCTGAGCTGGTGAAGGATAACACTTCATAACTTGCAGTTAAGAACATCAAGAAATATCATCACTGTTCAGGAAGAACAGTGATGATATTAGTAGTGAAGAATAATCTTAGCTACAAAAAAAAAGTGGAAATACTAAACGGTGAATTTAATAAACCGCGAATGCTATCTATATGTGATAACTATAAAATGTCAATAAATAGATATATTTGGATATTCTGCACACTCTCCTCTCGACACAATCGTCAAACAAACATTAGAACTCAGAGTGCTGGTCACAAGGGAGTGAAAACAGTCAAAATCAAAATGAAATCAAAAGCAAAAATCATAATTATTTGTGTATTTTTTTTAACTGGGTAAAGTTTACATAAAGACTCAGTTGTACATTAATCACGTAAGAAAGTGACACACTGACAGTGTGTCGCTTAGACATTGTCATTATCAGGGGCATGACAGCTAAGTGGACAGCGCTTCGGATTTGTAGTCTTGAGGATCCGGGCTCGATCCCCTTTGGAGGCAGAAACAAATGGGCAGAATATCTTTCACCCTGATGCGCCTGTTCACTTATCAGTAAATAGGTACCTGGGAGTTAGACAGCTGCTACGGGCTGCTTCCTGGGGGGGGGGTGTAACAAAAAGGAGGCCTGGTCGAGGACTGTGCCGCGGGGACGCCAAGCCCCTGAAATCATCTCAAGATAACCTCTCAAGATAGATCAGAATCAGAAACACTATTATCAACAACTGATAAAAATCATGACACTAACGGCTGGATTAAACATGTTACAGCAGTCTAAACCATCCTTAATGTTTGGCATAGAGTAAGACTTTGTTTACAATTAGAATGGTGATGTACATCGTCAAGCCAGAGGTGAGGTTGACCATTGGAGAAGTAAAACTCCAATGGTCCAATGGTGAGAGGTTTGATGACTACTGGTACCAGGAAAGGGGGGGGGGTGGTGGAGGAGGTACACAACATGTAGCAGACAGATTTGTCGTGGTAAACAACGTGATACAATTTAGAGCGTAGTTCAGTTTGTTGATCTCTAGGACTAAAATTGGCGAGGGAGAGAGGAGGGGAAAAGTTTGGTTTTAAATTATCTGTGTGAACTGTTGGTGTGTGTGTTTAAACTCTGTTTTTTTTCGAACACTTGTGTGTGTGTGGGACGATGGTGTCTATGAACCAAACAGAATCGAACATCAAGTATTTGATGTTCGGTCGTTTAATATAATGGTTCCCAATCTATATGAAAAACTATGCACTGATCTCGGGGGAAAAATTAAAAATATATTCTAATTGTCATACTTTGCCCGTAATAGTATAAAATAGACAATCGTCCAAGCTCTGCCCTTTTCTCAAACCCAAAGGGAAACAATTATATTTTTAATGTTTCACATCTCTTGACTCCTCTTAACCGGTGGACCACCCGCACACCAATGGGAAACATTTATATTAATTTTAAATGAGAGAGACAGTGACAGATAGTGAAAAGACAGAGACAGTGATAGAGAATGACAATCAGAGACTGAAACAGAATGAGAACGGGACAAAATGAGAACGAGGCATAGAGGCCTAGACAGACATCAATTAATCGACAATAACATGTTATTTTCTTTGAATATGGCATAGACACAACCAAAAATTATAGATATAGACAGAAACAGAGAAAGACAGGCAACACGAGAAAGACAGAGATATGTCTCAAGAGAGACCGGGCCGACCAGAGCACAGAGTTAAGGAGAAACAAGAAGACAGAAAAACACACAGACAACAACACAGAGATTGACAGAGGTAGAGACAGAAGGAAATAAGGAGAGAAGACAGGAGAAAGGAGACGTTTGAAGAGAGGGAAGGGGTGAAGGAGAGCTAGATAGAAGAAGAGAGGTGAGAGGAGGAGAGACTGGGAGAGGGGGGGGGGTGAGAGGTGTGAGAGTGAGGGAGGACGGAGGGAGGGTGGGTATGTTGTAGAAGAAAGATAGAGAATGTGGGAGAGGGAAAGAGTGTGGAGAGGGAAGGAGAGGAGGAGAAATTTGGAGAGGGAGTATATGGGAAGAAAGAGAAGGGGGATTGGGGAACCAAAAATGATAGAGAGATAAAAGTAGGAGAGTAGGGAAGGTGGGATAGACACCCGGGTGCATGAGGAGAGAGGGGGAGAGGTGAGAGAGGGTGATGACTAGAGAAGAGGGTGAGAGAGAGAGACAGAGAGAGAGAGAGAGAGAGAGAGAGAGAGAGAGAGAGAGAGAGAGAGAGAGAGAGAGAGAGAGAGAGAGAGAGAGAGAGAGAGAGAGAGAGAGAGAGAGAGAGAGAGAGAGAGAGAGAGAGAGAGAGAGAGAGAGAGACCTGGGGGCTGCCAGTTACCCCTCTAATTTAACGTATATCAATACCGTCTCCATTCGCTTTCTACATTTCAAGACCAAATATACTCGTTGATGATTATCAGGTCAGTGATCTCAGTACAACGTTCAGATGCTCTCGAAATGTAAACAGCATTGTTGATAATTCAATCCTGACGGAGCTTTCACCGGTTCATGTTATAATGACTTGGATTAAGCGTCTAAATAGCTGATTTCAGCGTTCACTTGGAGTCCCGACGTTTGTATACAGCATTAAACACCATCGGTAATAGTCTCGGAATATCGTACCTGTGAAGATAACAGAGAATACCGACGTAAACACGGTGTAATTTCTAAGTGTATAGAAGCGGGGACTCGTTCAAAAAATCTATACTATGAGAGAGGTGAACAAATGAACAAATTGTATAAGTGTTGTGTAGTGTTATGAGAGAGGTGGTCTGTGTGTTGTGGCTAGCTTCACCTAAATTGGCAGGGGGAATGGTCTGGGGTATGGGATGAACATGGGTTCGTCGGGAGGCGCCAGTATCCAAAAAGAAATAGCATGCCAGGGATCATATTCTCACCCCCAATGACGATTTTTGCCACTACCCGCCAGCCAAATACCTAAATATGTTCATAACAAACTTTTCAAAAGTTTTTTCTTATAGTACCATGCACCATTATTCACTGATCTCGTGGAAAATTAATAGAAATCAATAGAGAATTCTAATAGAGCTTCAAAGGCTCTATTCAATATAAATAGGGGTATAGATAGATGAGTAGATGGATGTTCGGATGGATAGATGTCTGGATGGTTGGGTGGATAGATGGTCCAGCATGAGTACGTGATGAATAGATTAAGAGAAGAATAGATAGATGCATTTATTGATATATGGATAGATGAACAGATTGATGGATGCAAAGGTGGATGGATGTATAGATGGATGAACAATCGATAGATGGATAGACAGATTTCTAGATGGGTAAACGGATCACTATAGATGAAAGAAGTCTGAAATCTGAGATTGATTGTCCATAGAGTGTTTACAAAGAGGTTTGACCTGCTGTTATCGACATTAAATCGACGTCGTAAACGTTCATGCAACGTTGTTTCAACGTTGATAATTTGTATTCAACGTTACCTGAGCACGTTTTGCCCCCCTTGGAAAAGAGAGAGTGGGAGGGATAAAGGGAAAGAAAATGGGAGAAAGGAAGGGAGAATGGGGAAGAGAGAGGAAGAGAGGAGAAAGAGAGAGAGATAAAGAGACCTGGGCACTGCTGGGTACACCATATAATGTATTATATATGCTTGTTGTATGCTAATGGGTTATATAGGAGCTGAGTTTTTATTGTATGATAATGTATTATACAGGAGCTGTATTTATTGTATGATGAAGAAGTGTTCAGTACGCCACCAGTATCAAGCCACAGTCACTGCAACTGGCGGTTCTCCCGGCACTGATTTGCAGAGATATTTCGCGTGCAGGTGAAAGACATGTTGCAATCATATTACAGCAGCAATGCTGGAACCATAACAACATTTAGCGCTAAGACACCGAAGGCCTTTGACGCCACCATAACATTTATTACAAATTCTCGTTTTGCATCAATATTTATTATGTTTAGAAGCAAGAATAATCACATCTAAGTGTTGGATAAATTCGTGTATAATGAATATTCCAATTTACTTGACTACTGTTTAAGGTAATTCTAAAAGTAATTAAGTTGTTGTAACTGAATGAGTTAGGATTGTTTGATAGTTGTTTGTGTCAGCGTTCAAGATGCCTTGATTGTGGTGAGAATGCAGCTGTGAATGAACATGCAGCTAGTATCTCTCAAACTGTCAAACATGCAGCTAGTATCTCTCAAACTGTCAAACATGCAGCTAGTATCTCCCAAACTGTCAAACATGCAGCTAGTATCTCCCAAACTGTCAAACATGCAGCTAGTATCTCTCAAACTGTCAAACATGCAGCTAGTATCTCTCAAACTGTCAACCATGCAGCTAGTATCTCTCAAACTGTCAAACATGCAGCTAGTATCATTAAAATTGTCAATCATGTAAATCGTATCACTCAAACTGTCAAACACACGTGTGTGTGTGTGTGTGTGTGTGTGTGTGTGTGTGTGTGTGTGTGTGTGTGTGTGTGTGTGTGTGTGTGTGTGTGTGTGTGTGTGTGTGAGTGAGTGAATGTGTACTCACCTAATGTATGTACGTGCGTGTGCTGTGTGCGTGTCTGAGCATGCAAGATTGCGTGTAGGCGTGTGTGTGGGCGTGTGTGTCGCCTCTCTGAGTCAGCTTATTGTGAGTCAAGTCGTTCCTTAGAGCGTGTGAGTCAGGCACAGTGCCGCCACCACCTCTCCCCTCACCTCTCACTTCCCTCACTTCCCTCACTTCCCTCCCTCCCCCTCACTTCTCCCCGCCCCCCTTCCCTCACCCACTCACTCTACCTCCGCTCCTGCTAGGCAAATTTTTTCCTTACTCATCGTTTTCCAAGAAAATATTGAAGCGAAAATAATTCGTAGGAAGAAAGAAATATTTCTTAAAGGTTTCTCGGTGAATGTGGAAAAAAATCGAAAGTGTGTTTCGCATTTTATTTATATGAAGTTAAATTTCGTCGATTAGATATGATTAGTTCCCCCCCCAATCCCCAGCAGGGCCAGCTGCAGTCTAATAGCAAGATTAGACATTGGATAAAAACAGGAAACGGAAAATATAATATCTCTCTCTCTCTCTCTCTCTCTCTCTCTCTCTCTCTCTCTCTCTCTCTCTCTCTCTCTCTCTCTCTCTCTCTCTCTCTCTCTCTCTCTCTCTCTCTTTATCTTCTCTCCCATTTCCCTTTATCTCAATCTCTATATCTATCATTCTTATTGAGATTCAGAGTGCTAATTGGTATCGTTTAGAGGCACCCAAATTGTTACCAAAGCATTTACTGATTACAATTACCAGATCCTATAAAGAGGTAATACAGTAACTCTCAACACAGCACATAAACTGCCCAAGAACAGAGGTATAATCGTACACAGAAATCTGTGAAAACGTGATTAAAACCTGTTTGTATTGGTTGCTTCAGAGTTCAGTAAAAAAAAAAAAAGATAGAAACCTTGGTAAGAATAAAGTAGCGATTCAGCTCCTGGGAAAGCTTAAGCCCCAGTAACCTAAGCTTACCGTATTGTTATGGTCTACCCAAAAACCCATAAGGGTTTATATATTAAACCCGTATATCCTTATGGTTGATAATTTCGAGCAGTGGATCTTTTTTTCCTACAAGTTAGCGAGAAGGCTTTTAAAGTATATATATTGTCCCATTTTATGGGTATTTTCTCTTTCTTGCACATTAAACACTCAGAAGATTAGATTAGTAAAGGAATATAGATTAGTAATGGAAGGTTGTTATAATTGAATGTTAACTCTCTTTTCACTAAAGTTATTTTTGAGTATGTTCAAGTATTCCTGAAGGACAAACTGTAAACTTAACAAAGTTTACCTCTACCGATAAATAAGATAATATAATTAACACAGTTGTGCGTATCTACTAACGTATTTTCGTTTCAAACCCGTTTTTATCTTCCAAAATATGGTTGTAATATGTAGTTCCTTATCTCAAGTATTATCTAATCTGTATATAGAGTACTTGGAGACAGTCGTTCTCTCTCAGATCAAACCTCAAGACATTATCCTTATTGGTAATAATTTAAGACATAATTCCTCATATGCATTTCAATCCTTCACTCTGGGATGCTTCAAATTCCTGAGATTTACTTTGTCTTCATTTTCCGTAAATGTTCAAGTGCCTTTATAGCCATTCTGCAGTAAGCTAGTCAGAATTTAACTGCCTATTCTTAATGGGTCTAAAATAGACACGATGAAGCTGAGAAATTACATTTGGTGTCATATTGATTGAGCTTCTGGAAATATATCGTATCCTATTTTCACTATTCCGTTCATTTATACATTGACTTTTATATTAATATCACGATTAATTATATTTCCCAGATCTTATTTGGTCTATGTCAAACATTTAAACATTACATTTGTTCAATATGTTTTCTAACCTTAACTCCCAGAACCTGCTTAAATTTATATTTGGCAATTTCAGCATTGTTTATCTGATAACTGGTTAGCTAATGTTCACTTGTAAATAGTTGGTTAATGTTAATTTGGCTACAGAAAGTAGCCAAGATCAAGAAAGGAATTATTTTCGCAATTAGCACGAGCACCGCGCTGGTTATCCTTGACTGCTGGGAGAAGGATAGCGAGGGGGTAATCATCGCTATTAGAAAAAAAAACCTGAGATGGCTTGGCTGTTGGCAGGAAGACAGCATAAGAGTCCTTAACTGCTGTTTGGATGACTGAGAAGGTCAGGCTGCTAGCAGGAACGACGGGGTTGCCTTGGCTGCTAGTAGCAATGTGTCCGGGGTATCTGTTGATGTTAGCAGGGTATTCTGTGGGGTTGCATTACCTTCTAGTAGTAAGATCGTTGGGGTTGCCATCTGCTAGTAGGGGTAGATCTGGGGTAGTCTTGATTGCTAGATTTTGACTGCAAGATCTGGGGTAGTCTTGGCTACTAGCAGTAGTACCCGGCACATCTGGAGAACGGAAGGGGGGGTTGCTGTTGTTATTAATAGGCAGATCTCTGAGGTTATCTTGGATACTAGCAGGGGTGGCATTGACTGCTAGCAGGACCACCGCTATTGTCTTCGATTCCAAGCAGGTGGGCCTTGGTTGTCGACATTGCTGCTACTAGGTGGATAACTGAATAAACTGCTGTGAATACTAATACAAAGAGGCTGAATGTGTCATCATTTTGACACAGTCGGAGGAGTTCTGATTCGGTAAAGAATAAACTCAATTAGCTTTTCCCATTTGCTACCTATGGTTGGCGTATCTATGCCCCGTTCTTCCCACCCCTCTCTTCCTTGTTTATCTGTTCTTTCTTCCATGCACCCCTGTTCGACGGTTGCTCCCCACCCTCTTCAATAACCCACAAGTGCCCGCAAGTCTGACCCTTGGTCTATCAACTGAGAATTTATCCCCTAGTCTTTTGCCGCTCCGCTTTCAACAGTCCCACTTCTGGTAAAACCCACCAAAAAACATAAAAGATATCCACAGAAGTACTACGAGCTCTTCTCACAGGCCACTTTGTTTATTTTTTAAAGGGATAGAGGCGGGGTGGTACTGGGTCGATTGAGGACCTTTTTGGGGGAGGGGGGGCAAGTTGTGATATAGAGGCTACATAGCCTAGGACACTCACCCCACCCTGCGTGACACATGTCAACATCAACACAGGCACAGCCCAGTGAAATAAATATATATATATATATATATATATATATATATATATATATATATATATATATATATATATATATATATATATATATATATATATATATATATTCATTCGTTCTGAAGATGTATTAATATACGAAAGTACATATTACTTTATACAGGAAACAGGAAACTTCCTTGAAACAGGAAATTCCTGTTTCAATTCTTCCTCCGTGGTCTGACACTGTCACATTTTTCATCACGTGTTAATTTTCGTGATTTACACACATATATACTATTTTTTATTTACGAAAGAGTTTGGTTTTAAATAGGTGTTGATTCGCATAGATCTATAGGCTTTCTGTCTTATGCAATGATCCTTATGAGACAATATATATATATATATATATATATATATATATATATATATATATATATATATATATATATATATATATATATATATAACTAAACTCGAATTTCCCCCAAACATATTGTACGTGATTCCTGGAACCTTGCGGCTTTTCTATTTCTTTAAAATCCAGAAAAATATATATAATCTTTCTAAGTTTTTTTTTTTTAGGTCAGAGTCCAGCAGGTCGCTGGGACCAGCGGGTGGCAGAGGCTGGCGGTCGTTAGTGACCTGCTCGGGAAATTATATAACTCTAAGGAGGTTCAAAATTTATATAAAAATTGCAAAAGTGGAAATGAGGATTTGATTTTTTTTTCTTTTTCTGTTCGTAGCCAGAATTTCATCAGTATGTTGCGACATCTGGCACAGTAGGTGAATGTATAAGGAATTTTAATGTAATATTTACTACAGTTTATGAAGTTTAAAAAGTAAATTCAATTAAATACATACACACACACACACACACACACAGGAGAGTCTTAGGAGAGACTACAGGAATTAAACCTCACTTCGCTGGAAGACAGAAGAGTTAGGGGGGGACATGATCACCACATTCAAGATTCTGAAGGGAATTGATAGGGTAGATAAAGACAGTCTATTTAACACAAGGGGAACACGTACAAGGGGACACATGTGGAAACTGAGTGCCCAAATGAGCCACAGAGATATTAGAAAGAACTTTTTTAGTGTCAGAGTGGTGGACAAATGGAATGCATTAGGAAGAGATGTGGTGGAGGCTGACTCCATACACAGTTTCAAGTGTAGATATGATAGAGCCCGATAGGCTCAGGAATCTGTACACCTGCTGATTGACGGTTGAGAGGCGGGACCAAAGAGCCAGAGCTCAACCCCCGCAAACACAACTAGATGAGTACAACTAGGTGAGTACACACACACACACACACACATGTATTAGGTGAGGACACACGCTTATTTATATATGTTAGAATGTCTACCTGAGGATAGAGGCCAGACGCTTTGGGCAAGCCTCACTCAATTTCTTACAGTAATTGCTTTCGGGTGTGCGCCCAATGGCACTTACTGGACTCATACTGATCCCCCATGACAGTTTGACACTTGCTACCTGCTTGATAAGTTAAATCCTCCCCAAACAAAGTAAAAAACTATTTGGTTATACAAAATCGTTAAATATTTTGCACTGATCTCAGGAAAATAAAAAAAAAATTATATGAATCATATTTTAGCTATAACAGAGCACATTTGAGGATATCACTAACTCACGCAAAAAAATATGTTCACACCTCGACTCACGTATCACCGTTCCGGTCAGACTAGGTCAGACCAAATATTGATTAACTGGCTTGAACAACCAGCAAACACATAAATACATTCTACCCACTTCAAGACCCATGAGCCAACGCAGAGACAGCATCCAATGACCCTACTAATACCCCCCCCTGATCCATTTATTCATTGATACGTTTAAAACCCAATTAATACCCCCATGTACTGGCATTCATCCACCACCTCACTCAAAGAAAATATAATCCGATAATAAACACGGTAAAATTTTCTTTGAGAATGTAAGGTGTACCTTGCGAAACGCATTCCTACGCGTCAGACTATAATAAAGTGTAAAAATGAACTTTGGAGAGTTAATTTTTCAACTGCCCTCGACAGTGAAGAAAAACGTAACAAATATTGAGAAGATTCGTGTTAAAATCATTAATCTTACCCTTTTGGTCATATTCAACAATATATGTTTGCAAGAAAGACTGCTACCAATATATATATATATATATATATATATATATATATATATATATATATATATATATATATATATATATATATATATATATATATATATATATATATATATTTAATATCATTTTTTATCTAAGATATTTTTTCCAGATCGTGTGATACAAACATCGTGTGGTGCATCTCTAACTTATTAATGGACACTGTTGTGGCTCTTAACTTACCCCAACTTACCCCTGGCAGCGTTAAACTTTCGCAGCGAGTGTTGGCACTCCTGGCTCTTTACACAGTCGGTGGCACTCGTCGGGAGCCTGGCACAGGTACTTTGTCGCTTTGCCGGTGAAGTTTGCTCTTCCCACCGCTGAGAGAAAGTCCTTCTACGGTTCCTCGGAGTACAAATTGCCCTGTTTGTTCCCGCACATTGTTGTTGTGTGGTGAAATAAGCTTCACAACACACGTTCGTACCCAGGCTTTCCGCCCTGGAGAGGCCACTCCAGACCGACAACCAGAGCGTAACTGAACAAATCCACAAGGGCCGTGACGAGGATTCGAACCTGCGTCCGGGAGCACCCTCGGGTTTGTGCCTCGGAGAGGCTACGGGATCCAGTAAGTTCAGTAGAACTTCGGTTTCAACCCTTTTAACCCTGTCGTAGCTCAGTCGATTAAGGCAGTGTCTGGGATGCTCCCGGACGCAGGTTCGAATCCTCGCCACGGCCCTTGTGGATTTGTTCATTTGATGCACCACGTTAGTGTGATCTCTGTGTGCGTAACTCCATAGTCACCTGTACTGCGAGTGTATATAAGGATGTGGGAGGACACGTCATGTAGTTAAGAACGCGTCAGGGTGGTTAAGGGTTTGTTAGAATGCTTACCTAACAGTTACCATGAGAAAGTGAAGTCTAGCTCTATATGCCCCGCCTACTATCCGTATTGTGCCTGTTGCGTTAGAATGTCACGTTCTTAACATTTTAAATTTTCCTCAAATTCGATCTTAAAGTTGTGGATGGAGGTGGCTTCTGTGGCTTCTTTATGAGCATTTAACTTCTTGACCATCCGTTGATGGTATGAGTAATATTTCCTTATAATTTTTTATATTTATATATATATATATTTATATATTATTTATATATTTATATATATTTTTATATTTTTACAATAATTTTAATATTTTTTGTATTCATCTTGGTCTCTGGCTTCAGGTTGTGTCCTTTTGTTCTACATTTTTTAAAATAAATTGATGGTTCTTATCTAGATTTTCTGATCTTTTAGTATCTGTTCATTATATCATCTTCATACCCAGTGGTGTGTATCATTATATCATCAGCATAGCTAATGATGTGCACGTTGGGTTTGTTAGGCTCAGAGTTTAACAGCGTGTTTATTAAGATATTAAATTAGGGTTCAGGACCACCACCTGGAACTAGGAACAAGGCGCACCACCGCCCTGTGGGGCGCCTAGTTCGAAGTCTCTTTTTACTCTCCTGTGTTCCTGGAACAATACAGATCCAGCAAAGAAGCCGACCACCAATATACATTCTCGCTAGCTCACTCAAGATAACATGTCGGTTTGCAATATATATTGCAAACCGACATATTATCAAACCTAGATGTCAAGGCAGACTTGATATCTAGGAAGGTGATAAAATTACAAAACTAAGTCTTATGTTAATATGTTATAAAGACTGAAATCTCAACTTCATTAAATTCGCGAGCTGTCATCGTTAGATGTTACCTTACAAGATTGTTTAGACTGTGCCTTGTAATATAGTAGCTTCAAATTGTACCGTTTTGGTACTTATTTATTTTGCAGGTACAAATACGTACCAAATTCCATAGTGCTTCTTACCCCCACCTTGGCAGGAAGGTTAAGAGGCCCGCTCTAGCAATTCTCGTACCCCAGCACCTGGGAGCCGGGTCAACGTGAGCCCAACCAGTGTTTACAAAGACCGGCTGATTTATTCTCATTTCAATTTAAAGGACGAAATACCTACTGTAATGGGATTCGAACACTTGAAGTAAGATAAGCACTTGGTCGATGTTTTGGTGCTGGGCTGTGATGAAACACCACCTGGCTGGAAATGGGTTTAGTAGCAGTTTCATTGGAAACTCAAAAGGAAGATTATCTGGACCCACTTGTTCGGCGGGTCAGGCCAGTTTGATGTTAATGGTGGCGAGTGATAGCTGTGTTGGCATGACTGTGACACAGTAACTGTGACTTTGGCACCTCTAAATTGTATCTGAAAACTATCTGAAGTGTTTGGTAACGCAGAGTTATAAAGACTGGATGTTGTGGTATCAAACTTGGTGTTAGCACTAGCGTGTGAACTAGCAAACTACAGTGTTGTTGCGATTTACGGTTGCGAGAATTTTTAATATTAGTTTCGTGTCTAGTAAAATCCTGAAAGTGCATTATGAACAATACACAAGACACCAAGGCAGGACACACCGCTAAGAAAGGTTAACGAAACTGTTAGTTCTTAGAGAGTTAAGTTCTTACTTAACAGTTCTAACTTAAGAACTGTTAAGTTCTAAGAACTAACAGTTCTTAGAGACTGTTAGTTCTTTTTTGTGATTTAAGGGAAATAAATATGGAAATTGGCTTTTGTTGCCGTGGCAAAATTACGTACTTGTTGGGAACTTTGAGTCATTGGTGTTGCTCGTCTCGTATTGGATATTTAATTCATTGTGAGTGATTCGTGAATGTTGGCAACACCGCTTTTGTTTGTGTTAGCGAGCACGTGGTGAGTAGTGTTGACGCTGACCCCCCTTGTCTGACCCCACAACGGGTGACGCTGACCCCCTTGTCTGACCCCACAACGGGTGACGCTGACCCCCCTTGTCTGACCCCACAACGGGTGACGCTGACCCCCTTGTCTGACCCCACAACGGCCAGCGCTGACCCCTTGTCTGACCCCACAACGGGTGACGCTGACCCCTTGTCTGACCCCACAATGGCCAGCGCTGACCCCTTGTCTGACCCCACAACGGCCAGTGCTGACCCCATTGTCTGACCCCACTATGGCCAGCGCTGACCCCATTGTCTGACCCCAATACAGACAGCACAACCATCCTTCAGGAGAAGGTAAGCATCACCTCGACCCTCAAGTGTGACCCGCGTCTCCGCCTCTCGTATACCAACATGGAGATGGATGTGACCATTCATATGTTATATATATGGTATATAATTATAATGTGCATATAGGTATTTCAATAGGCACATTACTAATGACTTTTTCTGTCATTACAGGTAAGGCTTTTGTGTAGCTCATCGCGGGACACAACTCCACCAGCTTAAGGTATGTTCCTGTTTCCATTTGTTTCTAATGATTTTTTTATAAAATATTAGTTACCATAATATAATTATGGGTAAATATTAAATCTTTTATTGGTCTTGGGGGCGCCGTGGTCCCTCCTTTACTGGTTCTGGGGGCGCCGAGGTCCCCCCTTTATTGGTTCTGGGGTCGCCAAATACACTTTTTTTTTACTTGTCGATTCCACCGAGTATTTTTTAGGTTGTGATCATGTCCCTCCAGCTGTTGCCTTCAGTGACGTGACCTTCAGTTTCATTGGTCTTCCCTTGCATGCTACTTCATAAACTCTCGTACCAGCCTGGTATGGTGGAGGGGGGGGGGAAGCGGCTCCGTGCTAGAGCTGCATAATATACAGGGTCTAACGTTCGTGGTGTTCAGTTTTTTTTTCATTCAAACGTTCAGACTTCGAAAGTAGTGCTAATATTATTAGAGTTAGAATTCAAGTAAGCACTTAGTGGTCAATGTTGGTACTTGTTCTTTATGGAATATGCAGTTGTGTGAAAGTTTTTTCTTTTGGCTACCTATACCTATATTAGTGCGCCTGACAGCTGGGTGGACAGCGCTTCGGATTCGTAGTCCTGAGGTTCCGGGTTCCATCCCCGGTGGAGGCAGAGACAAATGGGCTAAATGTTTCTCTCACCCTGATGCCCCTGTTACCTAGCAGTAAATAGGTACCTGGGAGTTAGACAGCTGCTACGGGCTGCTTCCTGGGGGTGGAGGCCCGGTTGAGGACCGGACCGCGGGATCACTAAGCCCCGAAATCATCTCAAGATAACCTCAAGATATATATGAGTTGGGAGACACGTGGTGATGCAGTGTTGAGAGTGAGGCAAGACGGCTTGAGTGTTGAGTGTCTAAGTGTAAGACACACTCAACACTCCTCCAATAGTCCTGAGTGTCTGAGGTACTTACAGAGCTCAAAGTATCTCATACCATTTGTTCTGAAATCATTTATTACAGAGCAAATCACAGATGTAGTGATGGAGAAGGTGTCCTAATTTAGTATTATTCAGCCCATCCTCCTCCTG